GCGGGGGGGGGAGGCAAGTTCAGAGTTTGATGGGAAGTCCCTGAGAGCAGGTGACTGACAGGATGTGATTTACATTTAAAAGCCCCTTAACACTTCCCAAATATCTATAGGCTCTGGACAGCAGGCTAGAGACCTGAGAGATCTGTACCTAGCTGCCGGCAATAACCAACACCTCTTAAGTGCTATGTTTTGGTACTGTTCTGAGTTCCCTACATTAGCTTGTTTAATCCCCACCATATCCCTAAATACTCCTTAGTCACACCTGACGGGCAAGGTGCTCCCCTTCCCCCAGCTCCATCATGACTGACGAAGAGGGCAAGACCGACTTACTTTCTCTCGTCGCTTCTCTTCCTCGTACTCTTTATTGCCTCTGCTCACCCCCTTCCCTTCTTCCAGCAGCTCTCGAAACAGATCCACAGGGCCAGAACAGCTTGGGGCTCCTGCTGCTGCTGCTTCAGCCGCAGGTAGTGAGTTCTGATGCCTGGCTTTCTTCCGTAGGAATTCTGTGCGGGCCTGGGGGGGAAAGAAAGGTATAGGCAGAACATTCAGAACCTAGATGTGACTCAAGGAACTGTGAGCCTGGTGCCGACCACAGAAAACCGCAGGCCGTGGTGCTGGGGGCTGTAAAGGAAGGGAGCAGGGGCACTGGGAGCCCAGAAGAGGCACCTATCCCAGCCTGCGGAGAGGGTGGGGGAATGAGGCAACGCCTGGGTTTGTAAGCTACCTTTCAAACAGTAAACCAGGGGGGGTTCCCAATCTCGAGTGACACAGTAAAAACAGCTACGAAGGCAGCCAATTCGTGTATTAGGACAGGTGATCTGAATTCCAGGCAGGGCTTCATGTCACTATCCCCAGTTGATTTGCTATTTATACTGATAAATGTGAATTTTAAAAACCCTGACTACCTCCCAGCCAGTGTTGACAATCAGATTAGCCAAAGGACAGGAAGCTAGGTGTAAACCAAACAGGTTAGGAGTTATAAAGAGAGCCTCTAGTGTTTGTGTGTGGGCAGCGGTGCAGGCAAAAGGCTCGCCCGACAGAGTGGAACTGGCTTGTTCCACTGTCATTTCGCTGCGTCTTCCTCTCTGAAGCCACCTCACTTCCCTGCACAATGGAAATGACAGCCTCTCTAAGAACGAACAGTGCTTGAGAGATTTGGCAAGTCAAGGGCTCTGCACGGGGCGAGCATACAGTAGGCGCTTACTAATAGGGAGTTTGTGCAGGTAAACTAAAAAGTGGTCCGAGTTTCCTTGAATTGTCCAGGGCTTCGTTTATTCATGAGCTTCTACTCTAGGAGTGGGGAGAAGCAGGACCAGGGAGAGCTCGAGGTGGGATACGCAAAAGACCGCACACGCTTCCAGGGAGCTCGGCCCCTAATTCCGCACGGTGTGCATTGCGCCTGCGCGCCACCCCACTTCCGGTCCCTCCCGAGGCGCCTGGGCGCTCCGCCCGGCCGGACTGGGAGCTTACCTCTTGCTGAGCGAGCAGCACCCTCCGCTCACGCTCTTTCTCCTCCTCCCGGGCTTGGGCCTCGTCACGCCGCACGCGGGCGACATTGTCCTTGTTCCGGACGTGCCAGCTCTTCTTGGGTAAGATATTCATGGCGCCGTAGCTGTCCAAGGACTGGCAGGCCCGCCTTCTAGCACTTCAGATTGGCGAGAGGCTGGCCCTTCCCTGTCTCGGCCATGGATTGGTCCTGGGCTATTTGGCACGCCCCTCTGGGTCTGTAGCGAAAGTTGATTGGCTGAGGCGCCCACCTCCCGTTGCCCGGAATTGCGCGTGGTTTCGCCTAGCGACCGCCTCTTATCAAGATTCTGAGCCAATCACAAGTGTCCCCGCCCGGACGCTACTGGACGCGGCCCCTGATTGGCTGGCACTCCCGCCAGGTCCTCTCGCGGAAGAGCCCGCCGCGCCGACCCACAGGTAGACACATTTGATTGGCTTATGTCCCGCTGATGCCTTGCCCCGCCTTCTGGACGCGAGTTTCAAAAAGCGCTCAGCAGCCTCAGCTGTGTTTATTGGTACTAGAAAGAGATTCACTGGAGAGTCAGGGACTTAGCAGTGAATCCCAGGGCTGGAAAAGCATGGGGTCTTCTCCGGTTCGCTTATTTTCCAAATGATGTGGCCGAGGCTTACAAAGGATCTGAGGGCAGGTCTGGGTCTGAAAGTGGGACGTCATCCTGAGCCAGGCTGGAGAGGTCAAAGAGCTCTGTTGGCCGAGCTCAGCGCCACAGCGCGCTGTGCCAGGAAGACTTTATTCTGCGCCTCCTGAGGTAAAGGGTAAAGAGAGATGGAGCTGAGACAGATCTTCTCTCCACCCGTGTCCCTTTCCATATTCCCCAGGACCCCTTCCCAGGGACCGGGCCTGGCTCACTGTCTGTATCTGGCGTTTGAGTTCAGAGATGAGGCGTCCATATGAGTTAGCCAGGGCCACGGTATACGCCATCAGGATGCTAGAAGAGACAGAATGGAAGCTACTCCCCAAACGCCCTTAGAATATCTTCAACGTAGGGCTCTTTAGTAATCAGGAGTCTGGACCTCCTCCTTCAGACTCGGGAAGTCTAGTATCCCGGCCCCCTCCTTTCCTCAGACCCAAGAGTCTGGGCCCCCAGCCCCCTTCTCTCTCGGAAGCAGGCAGCGAGACCCCAGGTCAGACATTCAAACTCAGACCCAGGAGTCTAGGGCTCTCACCTGGAGATCAGCAGAAGGGGCACAGCAAAAGCCTGGGTCCCCAGGAAGAAGAGAAATTTCTGGGCAGTCTGAGGGAGCTTGCAAATGGACTCGGGGATCTCGGCCCAGATGGACGACTGCCCCCGGAATGGACCACACAGCTTAGAAGGTGGGATCCTGAAGTCAAAGACAGGCAGAGCGGCAGAGCTCAAGGACGGCCAAAAGTCAGAACCCCGGAGAGAGGAGGAGGGAGGGAGGCGGGGAGGGGCAGGTGCCTCTCACACTTACAGGAAGATGCTGTAAAGCGCGGGAACGGTGGCGACGGCCAGAGCCAGGAGAAGGACCAGGGGGAAGAAGAAGTTCACGGCGGAGGCCCGGAAGGTGCGGGAGGCCGGGGAGCAGGTGGAGAAGAGGGCGATCTGGTGCGGGGCGCGAGGGAATGTGAGCCCGGACTCGCCTCCTCCGCCACCCAGGAGCCCTGGTCCCTGGCCTCTTCTCCTCGGTCAGGATCCAGGAGCCCCAGCTCTTTTCCACTATCGGACACGGGAGTCCGGGTCCCCCCTTCCCTCAGACCTAAAAGTCGGGATGTCCTGGACCCCTCCTCCCACATCCAGGAGTCTGTCCTCCAGACCCATCCTCCGTCAGGATCTAGTAGTCCACGACCCTGGCACCCTCCCCCGCCAGGACCCAGGAGTCACATCCCTCAGTCCCCTCCTCCCCCCAGGACCCAGAGCCCAAGCCCCAATACACCCAAGGGTGCTCCCCACCCTCACCTTCTTCAAATAGAAAAGCAGCAGGAACTTGGCCGTGTTGAGCAGAGGCAGTAAAGGGCAGAAAAAACTCCCCACCCAGACCACTGTCTGTGCGTAGATGAGCCCCAGCACTTCGTCAGGCACCTGGAACTCCAGGGTCCCCGCAAAACGACCCAGCGCCCCGGGACAGAGGCCACAGAGCAGCCTGAGGGGCGGGGTGAGGCCGGGCCGAATCAGAGGCAGGCCGGCCACGGGTTTCCCCGCCTTCACCGTCCCGCCCACCAATCGGAGGTGAGCATATCTGGGGGTGGGGCGGAGCCTTCAAGGTTCTGGAGGGGGTGTGTCCAGAGGGCGGGGCTTGAGGCGTAGAGGCAATCATGGCAGTAGGGACAGGGCCGCAGGGAAGTGACTACCAAACTCGTGGAGGGGCGGGGCCTGCGGGCAGGGCAGTCAGAGGCAGGGCTAGAAAGGGGCGGGGCGAAAGAGAAAAGTGGGCGCTGGGCGGGGCCACAGCAAGGGGTGGGACTCTCACTTCCGAGGAAACTGGATGAGCAGCGTGACTGCCAGGCCGGTCAGGAGATCAAACAGCAGGAGTTTGTACATCTCCTGTCCCAGGCGAGTCTCCCAGCACTAAGGAAGGAAGAACAGGTCATAAAGACATAAAGACCTCAGGACCCAGCCACCTGCAGACCCGAACGTCTGAGTCTCCAAACGGCAAGCATATGAGATTCTATCAATACTTTCTCTGGGGGTCTGTAGTTGTTTTTTCTTTAATCCATACCCCTGTCCTCAAGGGGAAGGTATTCTAGCACCCCAAGCTCCCCTTTCCTCCCAAGCCAGGGGTCCGGACCCACCGGGCTCCTCCTTTTCTTCAAGGACCCAGGAGTCCGTCCCCTCCCCCACCCCTCATCCTCACCGGAAGTTCTTTGTAATTGTAGCCACAGGTTTTGCACTCCTCGGCGTCCGCATCTCCCCCGCAAGTGATCTGATTCCAGAGAGAGAAGAGCAGGACCAGCAGGGAGGCCAGGCGGAGAAACACTGTCCTGGCAAGGGGAAGAGAGAGAAAGGGAATCAGCACTGACCGAGTGCCCACCACGTGCCTGGACCCTCCTGTGTGGCGCGTGCTCACAATTCTCCCCATTTCCCAGATGAAGAAAACTGAGGCTCAGTGACAGGAAGAGTCGGGATTTGAATCCAGATCCCACTGGATCCCATATCCTGACGATTTCAGTCTCTCATTTGCTGCAACCAATGTCCCCCGACCAGCCCCACCATCATCCCCAGCCCACCCCAGGAGTCCAGAACCTGAGCAGGATAAAAACGATCTGGCGGCTCCTGGTGTAGCCCTCCAGTGGGGCAATGAGCTTGAACACCGGTGGCAGCACGAAGTTGACCCCGGAGATGAAGATGGACGGAAGGTAATCCACCACGAGCTTCAGCAGTGGCATTCCCTGGATAAAAGACATCTCCTAGGAGGGAGGGTGGACCAAGAGAAGAGGCTCTGGGGTCCTGCAGGAGCCATGCTTAACATCCTCCGCCAGCCCCTTCCTCCTCCATCACCCTTAAGTCCAAACATAATCCCCACACACACACCAATCCCTCCTCTCTGAGATTCCAGGAATCATAGGCCTCAGTCTCCTCCACCCCTGGAAATGTAGGTTCCCGGCCCTTTCCTCCCCCGGGGCCCTCCACACCTGCAGCTTCACAGTTTCCCCTGTGGCCCAGTAGACGCCGTAGAAGGCTGCCCCCAGGAGTGCCACCACCGCCATGTTGAGCAGCAACCGCACCGACCACACCCTGGCTTGTTGGCCCAGCGTCCGCACCGCAGCCTGGCGCCGCACCGCTGCTTCCTCCAGCTCCACCTAAGGCCAGAAGAGACGTCCACTTGGGTTCCATTACCCTAAGTGCAGCCTGTGCTCCAGAGCCCAGGCTCAACGTGAACCGATGCAGCACCGCCCCTCCAAGAACCTCTATAATCCTTATCTCAGCCCATCCAGGGCCCTCCAGGTGACAATTGAGATCTGGCTCCGCCCCCAAGGCACCGCCCAGCACGTCCAGCTCCTCCCAGGACCCGCCCAGCACTCATGCCTGGTGCTTTGGAGTTACAGTTCTACTTTATCAAGCCCTTTCTGGCCACACCCTTCTCTTAACTTTGAACCGAGGAGCTTTAGGTACCGCCCCTTTCCTGCTGCTAGCTTTTTCCTGTACCCTTTGACTTCAGGCATCCCTGTAGTGGCCTTGGCCCCGTTCCCCCAAGGCCCGCCTCCTTAGAAGAAAGCTCCGCCCAGCATCTCTCTGGAGGCCCGGTCCCTGGTCTAGGCCCCGCCCATTCTCTCAACCCCGCCCCCCCGGGTGACATCTGGTTGTAGGCCGCCCCCCCCACCCCTAAGCGCACCTGCAACTCAAATAGGATGTTGCGCTGGCGCAGCCGCACGTGGACCTCCCCGCTGAGGCCAAAGTCCCAGGCGGAGAACACCCGGTGGCTGTAGCTGGTCACAGCCCCTGACTCAGCCAACAGCGTCTGCTTCAGCCCAGACACCGAGCTAAGAGAGGGGAGAACAGAGAGACGGGGTGTAGCAGGACAGCCACAAGCAGCGGGGATACCCTTCTCTCCTTCTGGGGCAAACAGGGAAAATGAACTCTAAGACCTTGGGCATTTGGAGGCTGCTACCTGATGGAGACACGTACAGTCATTGTCGCCAAAGACCAAGAAAGAGATTGAGAGAGGCCCAGAGGAGGCCAGACACCCAAAAAGAAAAGACAGAAACCTAAGAGATAAGGACAGCTCTCCCGAGAGAAGAGAACAGAGACCCTGGGGAGAGAGAGAGAGTTGGGAAGGCTGAGACCCCCAAAGGGGGGCAGAGATTCCAAGAAAAGGGCACAGAGACTCAGAGAAAAAGAGACGGAGAAAGGTGGGGGCGGGGGTCCAGAGACTCAGAAAAGGAGGGGGCAGGTAAAGGGACTGGAGAGAGGGGGACAAAGACCCAAGGAGGGGGTAGAAAACCAGAGAAAAGGAGAGAAACAGAAAACCGAGCAGGAAGGCTCCACACCCACCTTGGCCGCCCCGGCTCTGGCCCCCATCGTCTCTCAAGTGGGCCCAGAGGCCTCCCACCTGCTCTCCCTGCTAACACGTGTGCCCGGTCTCCGCTCCCGAGCTAGTAGTAGAGCCTTCCTTTTATGCGGATCCGAT